TCATTCTCTTGCTATCCTCGTAGCTGCAGCCAACAACACCACTCAACCCAGGACAACAGAAAAGGGGAAGTCCAGTCGCGGAATAACCTAAACATCGATAACGTCTTTTGCATGACCAGGTTTCGTTGCAGGTTCGTCGTCATGTATTGACTAAAGCGGTACTCTGCCGGCATAGTTTTGCTTGTTTCTTCTTCCCTTCATTTCCTTTCCGGTTAGAGTCCCCTCATGGAGTGTGGCTGTGGCAGTGCCCAAATTGTGACCCCATTCCAGCATGGATTAGACAGTCTGTGTCACGTGAATTTCATGAATTCAATTTCTGCTGCCACACGCTAGAGGTGGCGCAGCAAATGTCGACCATGGCGATTGGTTTACCACCACGCACTGCCGCATCTCGCCTCGGTCTCGGGTCTACTCGCGAATTCAACGGCATGAGGTAGGCTAATGCTCGTTGTGGACACGTTTGATTGCTCTAGTCGTAGTCTAGCCGTGGCTTGTTCAATGACACCCCTTAAAATAGACAAACTTTCCTTCTCGTATTTTCTGCGCCCACTAATAACACGATGCCGGACATGGTAGGCAATGCCTCTGCCGTCCGATCACTTCGGCTTTTGTCCAACATCGCGGGGCTTTCGCAGGGCTGGAGGCACATTCGCCACGTGAAATATGCCTTTCTACATATATCCATCTAGGAATGTCATCGTCGACGTGAGATCACTGCGCCATGCAGAGCCAAAACCTGTTAAATGGGCTGCCTCGGTGTTGATGCCCGTGTAAGGTGTAATGTATCGTTTTTGGTTAGGGCGCTGCCCTTTTGAGGTAACACTGGGACTTGGCTGCGCAAATAATGCTAGTACTTGTGATCAATATCGCCTATTTCGATCACTCTTCGTCCGAATGAACAGCGAAGCATTATCACACGACCAGGTTGCTAGAACCACGAACCAATAAACCCCTTACAAGTCACGCGCTGGTGCCTTAAGGGTTTACTAAGGACATTTGCAGGATTGATTAGGTTCCGAGACTGTTTGTATTCAATGCAGCGTGTGTTTTATACAGGGTAGGATGACAGCATGTTACATCAAGTCACCCGGAAAATATATTTGTCCGCTTCCGGCGCTGCACCTGACAACACTCGATATCTGTAGATGCTATTTCACAGCCCAACGACTCTCTTGGACCCCGTAGACGCCCAACATCTGCATCTGCACATTTGCCTAAGTCAGGCGGTCAGCGCCTCTTTGGAGACATACTCTCACCGCAAAAGCCAAATAGCTGGTGCTGCCTTTCACCAGCTTAAACGCTTGCCTCTCTGTCTCTCAACCCAAAGGAGCCAAAGGTTACATTTCCAGGACTAGCAACTGGTTTTCCTCGCGTTGTCTTTTCTCACTTCACATCCCCCCCCGACGCCATCCATCCAGACCCTGGCCAGCCGGACAGGGAGAAGACTGCCTTTCTGTATATGACATCCAGCCGTGCGAGTGATTTCATCCTGGATCCTGGCGATTCCTGGAGCCTGTGATATCTGGACTTCCCTTGATACACCACAATACTTGGACTGACCTGCCATCTCTTCCATGATGATGCTTTGCCGCTGATCAATATGGGGAGGGAAAAGCGGAATATGCAATCAAACGCTTCAAGCGGGCCGAAGGAGAGGCACAGGCGTAACCAGAGATCTCAGTGGGATCCCAAGGCACCCATGCCCCAAGGCTTCGTTGCAAAGCCCACCATTCCCAAGACAAAAAGCAAGCATCACTCGTACTTTGAGTTCGTGGAGAACGAAGACAAGAAGAAGAAGCTTGAGTTCCAGGTAGTCATAGTGATGGAGCCATCTTAGTTACCCAACTCACACTCCTCATCAGGTCACCACGAAAACTACCCCGCCACCGGGGTTCGAATTTGTTCCCTCAGGCAACCCCGAATTGACAACGGCTTGCAAGGAGCTTTCCCGCGAGAAAGATGCCATGATTTTCATAGTCTCGGCACGTACCTCCGCTCAGGATCTCATCACCTCACACGACTTACTGACCTCCTGCGCTGTAGACCACCAATGTTGAGGACCCGAACAACCTCTCCCATCATGTTCATCGGATAGGTCACCATATCCGAGAAACTATCGTTGAAGAAGCCAGATCAGGCCTAACCCACATCCCCACTCGACCCGTGTCTGATCCAGACGGGAAACCCATGCCACTGCCAGACTCCCAGGATGAGTATACAACCCAGGCAAACGCCTCAATCTTAGATTTCTTCCCCCGTATCCCCAACACTGATCGACAAACAATCCTCATGCAGTCATTCAATCTGGTAAGTATATCCATCTTGCAGGTTTGCCGTGTACGATGACGAACCATGCCTTCCCGCAGTCGAGTAAGAAACAACACCCGAAGCCAGTAGGCTTGTGCACAGACATCCCATTGTCGCGGAGGGTCCAACTAGCAGTGCTTGCACACATTCGCCATACTCACACGAGATACGATGAATTACTCAAAGAAACAAGCTGGATTAATGCACGGAAAGTGGTCGAAGGTTTGTGTCTTGACATTCTCGTCAAGTGGCGAGGTGATGAGGAAACAGGCCGTGATCAGCTGGACGAAATTCTGCGAGAGGTTGTTGTCATCTCGGATTCCGAAGACGAAGATGGCGACGACGGTCAGACAGAGGAGTCGTCGGCTGAAGAGATAACCATGACTGGCGCAGGAAAGACGCTTGATCTTGCGGGCACTGTGCCCTTACAGACCGTCACCAAAGCCTTATCACACAGCCGCCACAAAAGGAACGGATCCTCTGTCTCTGCCAGACCTGGAGCCGAACCCGGCGGTGTGGTTAAGTCCAGGACAACAGGTAGGAAAGAGCAGCGCGGATTCAAACGGTACCGAGCCTGGGAAGAAGCAATTCAACGCAATCGCGAGGGGCATGAGCCCCCCCCTCGTGACTTCGAGCAGCCTATCATTGAAAGGCGCACACCGTACAGCGGCGTCCAGAGGGACAAGAAAGATAAACGCATCTTGCTCGGTTCTTTGGGCGCCGTCCCCCACCCAAATGGTTTTGTACCGAAGCACCATCGACGCTCTGGTTCTGGTTCCGTTTTAGATGTGCCACCTCGCCCTCACTCAGCTTCCCTTGCACCCTCACCCCGCGAACGTCGAGCCACCCCCGTTGCCCGTGAGCCAGCACCTTCTACTTCCGTTCCTCATATCGAGTCCCCCCTTGGCCCCCGTCTACAAGATATGCTTGTCCGCTCGATAGAACCAGCATCCCCCGAAGTCATGCAGCCTTCATTTGTACGTGCCTTGCCACCTAGAGTACAGAATTCTCCCTCTCGCACCAGCTTGAAGCAACGCCCGGTCCGAGTCTCTTCTCCCTGGGAGTCTAGCCCCAGGGCAACTGCGGTCTATGCTGAGCGTCGTGTACAAGGCGAACGTCAGCCAATAGACTCCTTGCCACGACGTCACCTTGGGTATGGCGAACCGTCTCGCGATTTTCACTCCCCTCAACCCAATGACTTTGTCAGAATAGGACCACGCCCTCCTACGTATCCCGATGAAGCTAGTATTTATGGCGCTCGTACTTCGTCTGTCATCCCAACCAGGACAATTTTCGTCGATGCTGGTAAGCCCGGCTCACGTCATCACCCCATCGTTATGGAGGACCGTGGTGGTTTCTATGAGAGAGTGCCGCTCAACCCCCAGCCTTATCGTCCTGCTCCCGTGAATGGCGAGGTTTGGCCAAGCCACCCTAGCCAGGCCCAAGGGAGGGAAGCCGAAGCCCACAGAATAATTTCCCAGGAAAATGACCCAAGATCGATGAGAGATAATCGCCGAATTAGAGCTGCTGAAGCGATTCCTGTAACGGGGCTCCGCACACTTGCCCCAGAACATTATTCACGGCTTGTGCCTGTGGACCATAACGAGCAGCAGTGGCCGCACATCAGAAACCTCTATGACACTGCTCCTAGATCTCCTGCGCAAAGCTACCAGCGCAGAATAGAGCCCGAAGCCGGGGCCCAAAGGGCTGGCGAGGCAATCGCCCAGCCCCCGTATCACTACACCCAGTATGGCCCACGAGCACTCCCAAATGTCTTAAATGAAATGACCACCCTTTGACCTAACTTAATCTCTAATATAGACATTACGGTGGCATGATTCCTGCAGACGAATCGAGGGATCCTCAGCGATACCGCCCAAATCCTTTTCACCGCCCCCCTTCGGCACCTGCTCGAGACCGTAACCCTCACCTCAACCAACAAGCTCGTCTGTCAGTCCATGAGAATGATATTATTGTTCTTGACTAGATGATCGTGTTGTATCCTTGCAGGCACACGCCGAGTTGCCTCGTTAATGCTATCTGAATATAGCCAGCCATATTCGGATGTTTTTCAGGGGAATGTTCATGTTCATGTTTTCAGTATTGCTTATAGAGAGATTTCATGGTAGAGTTAGCATGTGTTACGGTGGTACGAGGATGAATGATACCCAGCATATCAGGTGTTTGGCTCCTTTTTTGTTTGTTTTTTCGGTTGCCATAGGGCATTGGCACAACCATTGATTACACGCGTTTGATAGAAGACCATGATTGGCACGCGGTAGAAAGTTCTGCTTTTCGGGGGTGCTTCATAGTTGAGTTGTCTGTTGGTCATTGGCTACCAGTAGCCTGACTTGGAATGGCCATTTTTCAGCCTTTTCAGAGATTTGGAGTTTCGGGCTACTTTGCAGGTTTCTAGTCTAGAGAGTCTCACCGAATAGATCTCCCTGTATTTCAAAGTTCACATAAATGCTGCCAACCATTTGTGCCTAGGTCAAGATTTAGGAAGATTTCAGGGATAAATTGAGCATTTCGCGCTGACAGACGTCATGATAGAATCATATATATAGTGAACGGGTATTACCTATAAATTGGTAGATGCTTGAAGAGCAAAAATAGCTCTATGAAAAATCCTTTTAAACGCCTCACCTGCGACCACCCCTCTTTCCCTTGCCAACACCCGCCCCAGAAGGCCCATGCCTCTTGTCGACTCCCAAACCTCGTCTCCCGGCCGCGATCCCGCCGCGGCCGCTCCGTCCCCCCCGCCCTCCTCCTCGTCCTCCCCGTGGACCCTCTCCTCCCCTGCCCCCTCGGAATCTGCCATTGCCACGGGGGCTGATCTTGTTCTTGATAGCGGCGGCCTCGCCGTCGTCCATCTCTTCCATCTCGTCGTCGTCCTTGGTCCTGCGGTTGGAGAACTTGAGTTTCCCGCCTCGGCCGCGCTTGGCGACGTCCTTGCCCTTGAGGGCGGCGACGTAGGCCCCCACGCCCGAGCTCTCCGGCTGATCGACGTCCATGGCGTCGTTCTCGTCGTCGCTGTCCTTGCCGAGGATGAGCTTGCCGTCGAGGTCGTACTTGGCCTTGGACTTGGTGGGTTTGCGCATCTTGACGGGCTTGGTCGAGGAGATGTTGGCGAGGGCCTTCTTGTCGAGAAGGTCGAGGGGCTCGTCGTCGTCCTCGAGGATATACGTCTTGCCGCCCTTTTGGCTCTTCTTTGCCTGTCGGGTGGGTGCCTCGCCTTCCGAGTCGTCCTCCTCTTCCGAATCGCTGCTGTACAGGGCCTGGTCGAATTCGTTCTCGAATTGCCGCTTGGGTTGGTCCTCATCATCGTCGCCGCTGTCGTCCTCATCGTTGGCAGTTTTGGCGGCGTCCTTCTTCCTCTTTGTCCGCTCCTTGGTCTTGCGGATGTTGACAATCAGCTTCTTGTCCGCCTCGGGGCAGTTCTTGTGGATGTTGTCGTAGCCGAAGCGGCGCACCATCCTCTCGAGGATGTGCTTGACCTTGGCCTTGAAGTGCCCCTTGTGCTCGTGGCTCCAGACAATCAGATTGGGGACGAGCGTGGAGAGGCGGGGCAGCATGAGCTCGACGGGGAGACCGATGACGCACACCTTGACGAAACCGAGGCAGCTCTTCACGATCTCGCGGTTGTTGGACGTCAGGAAGAGGTCCATTGTCTGTACCAAATCGGATAGAGTTTGCTCACTGAGCTGCGACCCGAACTCGAAGAGGAGACGGCTGATGGCTGTGATGGAGGCGGAGATCATGTGAGGGGTGCTCCCTGCCAGACCGGCGCTGACCATGGTGAAGTACTCCTCGATGTTGGCCGTTCCTGCGGGGGCTCCCTCAGGCATGTGTGGGACCTTGCTGTTGTCGATCTGGGCACCGTTTGCGGAGATCATGCGGTGTCCCATCTGGACCAGCAGCTCGTAAGCTGTTTCTCTGGCCCTCTCATTGTTCTCCTTGCAGCAGATAACGACCTCGCTCAGGATGGCTGGGATGAAATGCAGGGAGTCGTCGTTGACATATGGAAGGAGGGTGATGATGGCTGCGAGACGTTCACGCCTGGCGGGGGCGGAAACCTTCTCAGTACTGGAGATGAAGAGGTTCTGGAGCTCCAGGCCCCTTTCCCGGAGTGCTGCCTGGCCGATCTCAGAGCTGGCCAAGCGAGGAATGAGTTTGTATGCCTTCTTTTGCAATTGAGGTTCCTCCTGCTTATAAATAACCACCGAAGCAATCTCAAACAGGGAGGCGAAGCTCTCCCTGGGGAGATAGGAGGACATTGTGATGACAAGATCCATCAAGGTTTGTGCGGTGGATGGCATGTGATCCTTGGGCTTTTGCTGTGACTTGTCCTTCTCGCTCTGCTGAGGGGCATTCTGAAGCTCTGTGGCCAGCATCTGGCTGACTCGGTTGAAAGTCTCCATGACCTCGGCCTCGGGCGCTATGCTCAGGAATGCATTGACGGTCTGAAGGATAGGGCCTCGGCTCTGTGGCAGTGTTTGTGTGTAGACATTGAAAAGGACAGCAAGCATGTTGCCGGCGAATCCGCCCAGATGCTTGAGGTTTTCTTGGGCGGTGGCGCGGGTGATTCTGCTTTGGAGGAGAAGGTCTTCTTCCTCCTTATCATCGATGTCGGCGATGGCCTGATTCGACTCCACGATGGTTCTGAGAGCGCGGCAGATGTCCAGTCGCAGATCGACCTGCTTGTAGAGTAGGTTTGCGAGGATCTCCGCAAAAGACTGGTCAAAGGCCTGGGCCAGGTCCAGAGGCAGATCGCAATAGCCGGGGAGGATGGACCAAATCTGCTGCACAACTGTCTCGTAAATCTTTACCTCCATGGTCTTGGCCGCCTCGCCGTGGTCGAGAACCTTCTGGAACATGAATTCACTGAGAGGGACCATCTCGCTCTTGAAATGGTTGAGGTTGGTGTTGCTGGTGTAATCTCTGAGGATGGGGAACATCCAAGCTCTGCCGTTCTGGCCCTTGACGGGCTTGATGAGGTTCAGGGGCAATACCGACAAAACAGCTTCGGGTCCCATGGCACGGGTGGCCTTGCCGATGAGTTCGTCTGCCTCCTTCTTGTTGCGGAAAGAAGAGCTCTCGCGGATCTCACCTACAGTCTTAGCAACTCCCAACAAGATGGGGTGGGCTCTCCAGCGCAGAACATCGAACATGGCACCAAGAACGGCGAAGGTCTGAAGCCAAGCCGCCTGGTACTGAACAGTGAGCAGGGATTCGGCTGTCTTGGCAATCTTCTCAAGGATCTTTTCGTCGTATACAGATGGCTCGGTAATCACCTGAGAGGGCACACAGTTTGCCATGAAGGAAACCAAGCACTCTGAAGCGGAAATTCGGATGTTTTCAGCAGGTGACTGGAGGAACTGCGTAATCATTGTGAAGAGGTTGGGGAGGTTCTGGAACGTCTCCTCTGGCTCGACTTGAGCGGAGACATCGTAGCCTCTTGATAGAATTGCGAGCCAAGGAGGTACAAGCTGGGTATCAGTGGCCGAAGGGCGTAATTCTGAAATAATTTCCATCAACCTTGGCAGCTTTGTAGACGAAACCTCATCGCTCATGCCCTCAAAGATTAGTTCAAAGATATCAAAGGCAGCCATGGTCATATATTCGTTTCCAGTCTTGGCGATGCCCAGGAGCAATTCACACAGAGACTCAATCTTCTTGCTGGGCCAACCGCCGCTGGCTGCGGCCACTGTCTTGACCAATTGGAGCGCATGGATCAAGGCAGGTTCGTTGGTGGCGTCGGCTGACTTCTTGCCCTTGCGCGCCTGGGCGACCTTGGCAGCTAGGTCTTCTAGGTTCTTCATGGCAGTCTGGGCACACATATCGGCAGCCGGGTGGTCCAAGGAGGGGCTGGGAGGAGGAGTCTGGAGAACTTTCTTGAGAGCATCCTGCGATCGCTTGCGCACCTTGGGGCGAGGATCCAAGGAGAGGTTGAGCAGACCTGCGACAGCCCGCCTCGGGCCAATCTGTGTGACGGAGAGTTCCCATGAGGCTGCGTCCTGCGCAATCAGGAGCGATTCCAGGCAGCCGATGGATGTTCTGAGGAGAATTGGCTCTGCTTCTTGCATCAAGAGGACGGGCGCAATAAGTGTGAGGATCTGGGTGAATTTGGATCGCAGGAGCGGCTGCGGGGCAAACGGTGTTACGACATCGAGGAGGTAGACAACGGGCGTGGCAAGTTCGATATTGACGTTTCCGCTCGAGTTTGCCTGCTGGAGAAGAGCGAGGAGAGCAGCAAAGTATCCCGTGGGGGTTGGCGCACTGTTCTGGTCCTTGAGTGTCGACTCGATGGATTGGAGCACAACGACGGTCTGGCGCCGGAAGTATTAGCATACGCATGGATCGTTCGTTTTGCAGGGAGAAGCCTACCCGCTGCTGGCTCTGGAGGCCAGGGGACTTGATCTTGTCTAGCTTCTCAGCTAACGACGGCGTCGCCATTTTGAATGGTTTGCTATGTCGATAGACCAAGTATAGAGAAGATGGTCGGTGAAATCATGTACATGGTAGCGGCACCAAAAAATCTTAGAAAAATCCTTATCGCCATTTGGTGGGGTTTCGATAAGCGGCACTAAAAAAGTTGCTGGTAAAAAGCCCAAAACAGTGCGACTGGCCCACACTGTGGAAGCTCTCAGTCATGGATCAAATATTCTCTGCTTAGGAGTGAATTGAAAAAAGTTGAATAAATGATAGGCCCAGTGTAATTCGATAGTGATGTAAGCCAATGCAAAGATCGCTAGTTATTGTGATTTCTGTTCTTCAATTGCGATACGAATCATTGACCGCCAGAACTTTTCAACGAAACAACTACGAAAAGAGATAGAGTAAATAATTCATTCTAATGAGAGATACTACCATCTGGAAACAGTAGAGAGGGGGTTCGTTATGTATTACAGTCATTTCGTTGGGCCTCCATTCCTGTCGACTTGTTTCGCTTTCTTCAACATACTTAGGGTAGATATTATTAAATGACATGCTGTCCCCCGTTGTACACCTAAAAACCAAGAGCCTGTGAGTAAGATAATCATTATTCATACAATCGTAAAAACCTCTTCCTTTTCCCCAAGCTCGAACGCCTCTCCGTTCATAAGACCATGGGCGTAGCATTCACCCAGCAGCACCCAAGTGTCGCCTTGGGGTCTGAGCACGAACGGGGTCCGTCCGCCATATAAAACGACAACCACGTCTCCCTTCTCCATCATGTCCGACCCGAGGACATAGTACCCATTTGATGAGATGGCGAACCGGCGATACCGCGTGACGAGCGTAGCTTCATGGCTCCACTTGAACGGCTCTCCCTCGGCAGCGAGCGCCTGTATCTCTTCAGTGATACCGGCGTAGTTTCCGTCCCGGATGTGCAGAAGATAAGCCGCGGCTGCAGCCGTCCACCTGGATGTTGGGATCTCCTCATAGGGCTGTGAGCGATCAACGCCGATGCAACCGTTGGTCAGGGTCTGTGTCATGGCGACGAATGCCGGCTCCTTGGTGCGCCTATATCTGGCGTTCAAGGATATCTCCTTTTGCCCGGACACCTTTGTCCATATCTCCCCGAAAGATGTTGGATAATGCGCGTCGAATTTTCGTTTTTTCTTCTGCATTTGGAAGTCGCCATTCTGGAAAGTTCGGAAACAGCGCGAGATGGTATCTACACGCACACCGGCTACATGGAGTACCCGCTTGTTCTCGTCAATATCGAGCTTCGGAGAGGTATCACCGCATGCCTTGTGGGGGGTGGTAGGGCTTGCGAACATATGCAACGGCAGAATCCTCCAATCCGGGACCCAGGTCGGCACGTACACCCGCCTCCGGTATATGCGGGCGATTCTTTTCGGCGAGCCGCAGGGCTGGCAAGCAGCGAGTAGGATGAGGGAGGAGGCACCTTCGAGGCTGCGAATCGCAACGTCGATGTACACCTCTTCGACCAGTCGAGTGTAGTCGGGCTTCAAGGATGCCAGGGCATTGCCGTTTGTTTGCATAGTGTAATGGCCCAGAAATGCGTAAACGCGGTCTCTGGGATCCTTGGCCTCCATATGCCTTGCGCGGTGAAGCTCGTATACGAAGTTTCCACGGTTGTGGGAATCATCATGGGCTACTTCTGGGACGACGAACCGCTTATGTAGGTAGCGGATCGAAGGCGTATATATTTGGAACTGGACTCGGAGCGAGTGGTAATCAACGTTCAGTGTAGCGGCCGCGGATGAGAGTTCATCCCACTCGATTTGAGAATCACCCCAGAAAAGGGTTGCTGATGAAGCTGTGCCGATTTCCTGTGCGATCCATATCCTAGAGAACTTTCCCCAGTGCGTTAGTAATTCGATACTAAGAAGGGTTGAGCGATGGCCTGGGTAACATGAAGAGTGTTGCTTACCCATGGCAACTTTGTAAGTTTAGATAGCGGGATCCAAGGCTCTCTGTTTTGAGCCAAGAGCTCTTCCGAGTACTGTTGCCGGAAGGTTTGATGTGCTGTTTCATCCTCGAAAACGGTATTTAAATACCTCACCATCTTCATCGCCTCTGCAGCAATGCCGTTTGGATCTTGACCCAGCCATACCAGCACACGGTCGGAGCCGTGATAAATCGCATTCATCAGGGGGACTTGCTGGCTCCGCTCTGCCACATCGTCCTGGTTGATACAGATCTGGTCCGCCCACACCCTTCTCGGGGTGTCCGAGGACCGGATGCGAGCGAGGGCATCATGTGCACTCTGAGTGACGGAAAGATATTCCGAGTTGCATATGAGCTCTGCGCAGCGACCCCCTATACCCCAGACATAGGACACAGTCTCATACGGCTGGGCAGAGGCCAGGTCCTCGACGGACAGCTCGCCACGAAGCGGGTCACCAGGCTGACCCGGGGACAGAGTGAGGATACGGATTGAGGTTGTGTCCGTAAAACGGGTGTATTTGAATGTGTGCCGGCCCTGTATCTCCGGAGTCGAGATCTGGCTATGAGCCATGGAGCGTCGTCTCGCTAGAACGGGTGAGGTTAGCTGAGATGATGCTCGACAAGCACCACCACCGAACGGTGCCAGCCATCTACGGGAGCACGCCCTTCTCAAGTGCAACATTGGCATCGTCTAATCTAACATTGCTTGAGCAGGAAGATCGGGAACTGAATGACATGGCGCGACATGCGCCCGTATGACCTGCAGGCCAAGCGGCGTTCTAGGCTGGCGCTTCCTTCATCAACCAACACCCACTTTGCATGGGTCTGCCAACCCAATCACCCAACTGTGCTGAAACCGCGGGGAGGGAAGGGATGCTTACAGGAAATGTTGCTGTGATCAATGTTCCGTCGCTCTGGCACCTCGCGTTCGCTCTGCTGGTGTTTTATCAGAAGGCCAGATGGGGCTTTTCCCGACGCGGGCCACTTTATTCTTGCTGGGACTCGACCAGGAGTAATCAAACCAACCAAAACCAAACTAATGTCCCAAGGCGCATAAGTTCATTGACATATCACGGTACGGGGTTGCCCAGTTTGAGTGTCTCGCATCGACATTCAAGTAGAACATCATCATCATCATCATTATATTCACAATTCTAAATCTTGCTATCAGAATGACTAAAAGGAGAAAATTGTAGAGAAATTGAACACCCTTCTTCCAGGCTCTTTGACTCATTCCCACATTCTACAGTGCCTCTCGCACGGCAGCAGGCTTAGCACCCAGTATGCTAATCTGGTCATCATCATCATCATCATCATCAACCCTCCTGGTGATTGACCGTGAGAAGTTCTTAGTGATAACCCCTCCCAAACCCGGAATGGGCGGTTCGTGACCGCGAAGCTCCCAGCTACCTACGCGCTCATGGTGCATACCCTCGTGCGTCACATTAACATCAGTGTCGCTAGGTTTCTTCTCCTCACGCTTAAACCCGCCGAATGTCATTTTTCGTTCATCTGCTCCCGCGCGGCGCAGTCGGAAACCGGCTACCATGTACAGAGCCAACGCGACGAGTCCCATCACCGCAGCCATGACCAGAGCCCCAATTACGCCAGCAATGGCCGGATGTATGCTTTGTTTCTTGGTGAACATGCCACTGCTGTCGGTTTCATCCGAGGCTGAGGAGAGTCCGCACCATGAGGCTGTGGTAGAGCCGCAGACGTTACACCACTCCGTAGAATTGACACTCTTGTTTGACAGCTGTCGAGAGAAGGTGATGTATGAAACTGTGGATGCCCCGTATCCGGAATTGAACAGAGCATAATCTGTAAATTCCTCGTCCTCATCAGCACTGGCGCGATATCGGAATCGAATCTGCAGCTTTTCGGGGTCGAGATTTGTCTCGTACTTCCTGGGCACGTCTCCAACGAGCTCAAAGATCATGGCTGAGCCAGGTTCCGGAAGACTGGAGAAGGCGCCGGATCTGACGTTTTCTCGGTTGATCAATCCGCTTATGGAGAAGAAGGATAGCATGGGCTCGGGGGAGCCAAACATCAAGGTTAACTTATTCTGCTTTGCGCTGTTGGCAATCACATTTTCAAATTGGCTGACAATTTTCGATGCTAGGGTTCGTCCGGCAACGGTGTAGAGTTGGTTCCTTGCATCATCCGTCTCATCTGTCGACTCGGTATATTTTCCACGTTGGATCGCATACGCGTATGACTTGAGGTTCGTCAATGTTTCATTCGCATTTACAAGCCCCTCATGAGTAGTTTCGTTGTGAAGATACAAGTAGTTGACGTAGTCGTAAATCTCATATGCATTCCAGAAATTGGCGGTTTCATTGGTGACGACACCCTTTAATGGCCCGGATGAGAAAAGATCCTGATATAAAGAGGCACTCTCATCGTACAGATCTTTCATGTCTTGCCGCTTCCGCAGAGTAGAATTTGCTGCTGCTGTCCATTTGGTGCACCCAACATTTCCTTGAATACTGTTGAACCGGTTAAATTCGCTGATGTCACTTCAGGAGAGGCTTATCAACCGTTCTCACCTTGGAGAGTTCCTATCGGACGTGGCTGGTACCTGCAGCTTGGGATATTGGTACCCACCCAAGGGATAGTCAACTAATGCAGAACTGTTTCTTGCAAAGTTGTGCGCTATCTCATCTCCGCCGGCAAGTGTACTGTACTCTTGTGTGACTGGTGGGTACAGTCCCTGAAGAAACGCCAGAGCACTCCCAACAGAAGCTTCCTCTTCAGCAGCCATCACTGTGAGCTTAGAGTTATCCAGAGCAGCTAGCTGAATGTCATAGATAGGTGCCAACCCGGTCGAGTTAGTGGTTGAATTGCCCCCACTGGAGGATGTCTGATTCAGGTATCGGGATCGGAAAGCTGCGCCTTGCCTCGCCATTTGCTGAGCACCCTCTGGAGTGAGCACAGCCGGGCGAGTGCTGAGGCTGGGAACGCTTTCGCCATGATGAACATAAGCAATCACGGCCCATACCCTAGTGTTATCCTTCTGGGTCTGAGCGAAGACCAGCGGGGTAATGGCCATTGCCGAAAGGGCTGCGGTTAACCTAGATGGGAGCATCGTGGAGGAGGATAGCGAATGCGTTCGACCACTAGAGAAACCCGCCGGCAATTCGAAATCCGATAGCTACCTAGCAGATGAGGGGGCTCTGCGACCTTATAATGTCCTCATATTAAATCTCACAAGGCTGGGAGAAGAGGGGCTAGCAGCAGAGAGCGAAGCTGTAGAGGCTGCATATTCAGCTCTGGCGTGCTGCAAGCTTATCAAATCAGGGCATACCTTTGCATATTGTTTTCGCTGTGGGCATGGCTACTACGTAAAGCCCGAGCTAGCTCCCGCTGATATGCAGCAGCGAGAGCCTATGTGGTCATTGTAAGCATGGAGGTGCGGGTCTTGGTGGGCAGTGGCGTGGACGATGCTGGTGATGTAGCATGCAGCTCGTATCTGTCTTGGCAAGACCAATCAAGAATCGCGATGAGGTGAAGGTACCGCCTCATCCTCGAGGTGGGGAGGGGTTCAGCAGCAGCGAGAGAAAAGATGAGGGGCTGGGCGGATCATGTGCGCGCGCGGGGTTGTTCCCCCTCTTGCCAATATCTCCCAGATACGCATTATGTCTGTCGAGTCGACGAATTTGGCCATGTATTTGCCTTGCCGCGCATAATGAGAAAATATATTGTTTAGTCTCCGGACAGGGTCGACTTTTGCAAGGGGGCAGCTCTGAAGATCGGTTAGATTGGTGAATCCCCACGTAGTCCTTGCGTAATAGGCGTTTTCGATTGAATAACTCCCACTCCATCGCCCTAATCGATATTCTTCATTTGGGTTCCGATTATCAGCATGGCGGAATTGGAGTATCCATGTGGCTACCTAGGCACGCTGATGGCAGTGGATTTTGGGCTGGATCATGACTGGCTTATCCAGTGGAGCCTCATATCTTCAATGTCTTCGACAGTTCTTTGCTCAATCTGCCGGCCCATGACTGGAAATGCTTCATCCAAGCCAGTCGGCCTTTTTCTCTTTCGGAAAGAGTTGACCGGGACCTGGGCGCTGGGCAACTGGGTTGATGGATGGAGGAGGTCTGCTTCGACACTGCATGTGAAAATGAACGCTTTGATTCATCCGATAACAAACTAAGCTGAAAGGTGTCTCTCGTTATTACTAAGTCAGGGGAAAAGCCAGACCGAGTCTCTCTTTCCCACCGAAATCAAATCTTATCAATCTACCACTGATCGAGGCCATGGACCAAAAGGGAAAGGGAGGGTAGTAGATATTGGCCTCAGGCATGCACAGCATTCGAGGTACCTCCCAGCCAAGTACCCTGGAATTAGACTCTGTATCACGGTCTAGCGAGAGTGACTTGCCAATTAGTATGCCAGCGTTCGGAATTTGCAAGCTGCACATGGGCCGATCCTAGGAGGTCAACGCTCTCTTCAGGCCTGGCTATTGAAACGTGACCCCGAGCTCAAGGGGCGGCAGCAGATGAAAGCACGCGGACATCATGCATGCACCAAATCGTCTAAACATGTCATTCTAGGCCAACAACTTAAGTGTTTGTGCGACACAGGAGACACCTAGCAAGGTACCTAGAAGTCCAGATACTCTTAGCAGAGTGGATCTGCTCCACTTTAACCCTCGTCCGACACCAAAAATCGAAACCTTCCTCGCTAGGTTTGCCTCGAAGAGGGTAGAGGTACCTGCCAGTTCTGAGATACTTGGCCAAGTCCCGTGTCTACGGTTTTGCCCGTACCTGCCCAGTGGACTCAGGCTGGAGGTAGAGGCCCCCCTGCCTTGGAGGCTTTCCCTCCCTCCAACAGCGCCCGGCGATCTGTATGTATGCATCTCACTTCACAGCCGGCCACAGCGGTTTGTGTTCCCCGAAGAGCCTGCGAAGAAAAGATTTGCGCACATCCTGCCAAAAACCCACACGAATACGATTTTGAAAAGTGCCCTCTTCATGGGCTGGTCGCATGCTGCGACGCTCATCGCCGGCCATGTCGAATGCAGCCCCCAGCATCGAATCGGCGCAAGCCGCACCGCCAACAGTGTCTGGCGGTGCGCTCAATGCGCAGCCCGATGAAAAGCTCAACAACACCAAGGATTCCTCGCAGACGTTCTTGCATTCGCCGCCAGATAGTAACAACACGTCCAAATCAGATGTCAGCGACTCCGAACTCAGCGAGCTCGACGACGAATTGGCATCCCTCGACGCATACAAGCCCCTCCTGTCGGTCGAGGAGCCTCCGCCCTCAATCCCTCCCGATGCTGATAATTCTCCTGGACAAGGCGATGCCGTGGAACTAGACATTGGAGAGGTTCTGCCCGACCATTGGTCCGGGGCCGTTCCGGTCTTCAAGCCCACCATGCACCAGTTCCAAGACTTCAAGCGTTTTGTAGGTTGGCCCTTAATGCATGGCCCAGATCGCCTGGTTAACCAATTCAATCATAGATGACCGAAGTGAACAGCTACGGAATGAAGTCTGGCGTAATCAAGATCATTCCTCCAAAGGAGTGGAAGGACAAGCAGCCTCCCCTGGACGAGCTGGTCAAGACTGTCAGAGTTCGAGAGCCTATCAAACAAGATATTATGGGATCGAATGGTACCTATCGACAAGTGAACATTCTCCACGGCCGATCATACAACGTGCCCCAATGGCGCCAGCTTTGCGATCAGAGTGAGCACCAACCACCGGCCAGACGAGGCGAACGACGGGCCAATGCCGATAAGCCAAGACCTCCACGACGGCCGACTGCACCGAAAACACAGACGTCATCGGCACCTAAGAAGCGTGGCAGGAGGGCTGGGAGAGCCAAGGGAGGTCTGAGCGAGAAGGATGATGAGGAACGGCCAATGACTCCCGTGTCTCCCAAGGCTGAACCTGATGAACCCACGGAAGGAATTGTCGCCTCCATCGAGGAGGCGCTCACAACCAATGCTGAGACCGACGAACCCCGTGAGCCGCAGAAGGTTGCTTCTAGGCAGCCAAAGACCAAAACCCAATCGGTCTCTGCTCGACGAAAATACAGCAAGCGGGAGGGCTCCGCAGCGATTGACGAGGCTGCGTTCAAGGACTTTGATTATCAAATGGACATCTCAGAGTATACGCCGGAGCGCTGCGAAGAGTTGGAGCGAGTATACTGGAAGACGTTGACGTATGCTTCTCCCTTGTACGGCGCCGACATGATGGGAACCCTCTTCGATGACCGCACAGAGATCTGGAACCTGAACAAACTGCCAAATTTGCTTGATGTCCTCGGCACCAAGATTCCCGGCGTCAACACTGCGTATCTATATTTTGGAATGTGGAAAGCAACTTTTGCATGGCATCTTGAGGACGTCGATTTGTACAGTATCAACTATGTGCACTTTGGTGCCCCGAAGCAGTGGTACAGCATATCGCAAGCGGACGCTCGGCGATTTGAGGCTGCCATGAAAAACATCTGGCCCGCGGATGCAAAGTCTTGTAACCAGTTTCTTCGTCACAAAGGATTTCTCATCTCACCCCAGCACTTGCTCTCACACTACGGTATCAAAGTCAACAAGGTCGTCTCGTACCCTGGCGAGTTTGTGGTCACCTACCCCTACGGTTATCATTCAGGGTACAATTTGGGTTACAACTGCGCCGAAGCCGTCAACTTTGCCCTTGAACCTTGGCTCGAAATGGGAAAGGTGGCAAAGCGGTGCGAATGTGCCCAAGCCCAGGATAGCGTATGGATCAACGTCTACGAGATTGAACGCAAGCTCCGCGGCGAGGAGACTGAGTACGAAGAGACTGATAACGAAGACTTCGAGGATGAGGACGAAGATGAGGATAGCAGGCTGCCCACGCCACCAGCGGGACACGCCGTGAAGGTGGTCAGACGCAAGAGAAAACGAGACCAGAACGGCAAGGAGGACCAGTCCCGAGTGAAGAAGAGGATCAAACTGCGTCTGAAGTCCAGGACCGAACCACCCTGTTGCCTTTGTCCAAATGACGTCTCTGCCATGGAGCTGCTACCGACGGATGATGGACGGAGAGCGCATCGTGTGTGTGCTCTGTACCTGCCCGAGACCTATATTGATTTGGTCGATGAAAAAGAAATCGTATCGAACGTCTCCGGTATTCACAAGGATCGGACCGAGCTCAAATGCCTGTATTGTCGGTCGAAAAGAGGCGCATGCTTCCAGTGCTCACAGAAGAAATGTGCCAGAGCTTACCATGCGACTTGTGCGGCCGCAGCTGGCGTATTCGTGGAGGAAGGAGATGTTCCAGTCTTTGGCGAGGACGAGGTCGAGTATAAGGAACAGGCCTTTGAGTTTAGCTGCCGGTTCCACCGCTCGAAGCGAGATAGGAAGTTGGATGGCTCCGTCCTTGAGGAGGATCCTCGTATTCGGAATGCTGCCCGGTCTTTGGAGAAGGGTGCTGTCTGCCAGTTCCAGTATCATAAGGGAGATATTTTTGCCGGTATCGTGGTCGAGAACCGCGCCATTGACCAGACGCTACTGATCGATATTCTTCCACATGGGTATGTTTTATGGCGTATTCTGGTGGAACCTACTAACGCGTTTGCAGTGACCAACTTGAAGTCGAGTGGAAATGGCTTCTCCTCCCGGATCCCTCTGACTACCACCTACCAAAGGCATCTGCAAAAGCTATCCCAATGCCGGCTTCACACAAGGCCAAGGCAAAGCTGAACGCTAAACGCGGTGGCGATGAAAAGCCGAGGAAAGACGATACTTTCGTCGACGGCTGTGTTTGGGCGGAATTTAACCTCCACGACGTTGGAAAGAACCCGGCACAGGTTAAGGTTGATCTGGGGAAGCCAGACCAGATTTGGTACTATCTCGCCCGGTCTTCGACTGACGCAAAAGCCCAATATACGGAAGATCCAGCGAACCCTCGGCATAACCCCAAGGGCAACTACCTTGATACGATCCCCAAGCCTGTGAAGCCAGTCTCTACAAATGCTGTCAGGCGTCAAAACTACCAGCCATATGTTTCCCCATACAGTCAACAGGGAGGGATGCATCTGGCGAACCAGATGCA